TTTGATTTTGGTCTTTTGAATGTTTTTTTTTTAGGAATAGTGAACCGTCGATTCGGTTAGGGAAAGAAACCGTCCCGGTTTGGGTAACTGATTCAAAATCGTTTGGGTCTGGTTTACAGACTGATTCTTTTATAAATAAGATGAACTATCAAAGACATAATTGTGTTTTCATTCGATTTTTATAATTAAAAAAAAAAATAAACAATCTGATTTTTCCAACACTCCGAGTCATTGTTTCTCTTCTCAACACCATTTCAGCAATTGATTCCCAATCAAAAAGAGATCTCATCCTCTCCCTTTCTCCGCCAAAGCCGTGCGAAGAAGACGAAAATGGGAGAAAACCCTAATCGAGCTGAAGCCGAACGTCTTCTCGGATTCGCCGAGAAACTTCTCGAGTCTCGGGATCTGACCGGTACAAAAGAGTTCGCAATCTTAGCTCAAGAAGCAGAGCCACTCCTCGAAGGCACCGACCAAATCCTCGCCGTCGTCGACGTCCTTCTCGCTTCCGCATCAGAGAATCGCGTCAAAAACCAACCAAACTGGTACCGAATCCTTCAGATCGAAGATCCAATAACGGACAACGATCTGATTAAGAAACAGTACCGTCGTCTCGCTCTCCTCCTCCACCCTGACAAAAACCGTTTCCCTTTCGCCGATCAAGCTTTCAGATTCGTTCTCGATGCATGGGAAGTCTTATCAACACCTTCCAAAAAATCCCAATTCGATCGAGTTTTGAATCTCAACTTCACAAAAGTAGATCTCAACGACAATCAAAAGAGGAAGAAATCCGCCGGTGCCGGAATCAGTGAGAAGATGGCTACGTTTTGGACGGCTTGTCCTTACTGTTATGGTCTTCATGAGTATCCTAGGGTTTACCAAGAGTATTGTATCAGATGCCAATTGTGTCAAAGAGCGTTTCACGCGGCGAGTATTCCTCAGTTGCCTCCATTGATACCTGGAAAAGATGAGTATTATTGTTGTTGGGGTTTTTTCCCGATGGGTTTCGTCGGAGGAAAAGGAGGAGAAGCGGCTGCTAATGCAAATGGATCTGATTCAACAAAATTCCCTAATTGGATGCCTCCGGTTTTCTCCTCCGGCGGAGTTGCAGCTCCGGTAGCTCCTCCTTCAAGTGTTCCTAATGGTAATGGTGGTGGATTTGTCTCTCCTCCTCCTGCTGCTGGTGGTGGTGGTTCTTCTCATGGTGTTCCGATTAGCTTTGATGGATGGTCAGGTGGTGGTGGTGCGGCGGTGAGGAGCAACAATGTAGGAGTTAGCTCAGATGGAATGCCGAAGAAGAGAGGAAGAGGAAGGCCAAAGAAGAATCAGTGATGGGTGAAATTTGGGAGAAACATTCTTAAAGGCAAGTTTTTTTATTGTTAAGGCATAATCAGATTCAGTGACTAGGATCATCAGTGTTTGTTGTCTTTAGCCATAATCTGTAGTTTGTTAATTTTAAGCTTTTTTCTTTATGCAATTTTTCTCTATGTATTTTGATGTTTTTGTAACTTTAGGCTGTGTTATATTCATTTGCTTCTCTGATTCAACATCTTTGCTTTGAAACATGGTCTCTCTTTTTTGGGTAATTATATAACTATGAAATGAATCGGCGCAAATTGTTTATGTTTGATTCTGAATCTGATGAACTAAGAACTGTTTACCAAAGATATTACGATTTTTACATTACGATATTTAGAAACGTTTTATAATTTTGGGCGAATTTTCAGAATATTCTCAAAATGTTTTGACAAGGACTGGTTATTATTATACCTAAAAAGGTTTTTTCAGGAATTGTGATTAATCGAGAAACTTTGTATTTAAGTGAGGAACACTGTCCTCGACTTCACTTGGTGGATGGTTTAACTCTTAACATCTCTAAACAAAACCGAGGAAATCTGAGACTCGAGATCAGTACTATCTCCAACACTTCATTAGAAGAAACAACGAGTGTCAAAGATACGACTACGAAATGCAACAAACAACTACAAAATTAATTATTAAACAAAAAAGGGTTTGTTATAAAGGAATCAAAATCTTTAAGGAGTCTATAAATGAAAGTGAAGGATTTTTTCCGGACGAGATTTCTACTTCTTGGCGATGTTGAGATCGATGTGTACATACGCAAGAGAAGCCACAAAGACGAAGAAGAATGCCGATACAAGCATCAATGGTTCCGCGAGCATGTATATTGGTTTGAATGTATAGTACACCTGCGAAAACCGTCACATAACATTTAGCAGTTTTTTTACTATAATGTTTTTGCTAAGAACTGTTTGTAAACTTATCGAACAAATTGATTTTGGAGCCTATTACTAATACTATGTGAGTATTACAAGCAATGCATCGGAGGTTTCTAGGGTTCTATGGAAACACGTAACAAAAACAACAAATTTGGTTCCTTATGACGAATTGACAATCTAATACATTAGCTCATGTGCTGATGATCTAATACATTTTCTTCTATGAAAACACGTAACCCGTACAAAGCTAGTTATAAGTTTAAAGGTAATTTTACCTGGAAGGGTACGTTGTGAGTGGGAACTACATTATCCTTTTGCAACACAACCACGGTTCTTCCCACAATGTCAAGGTATGAGTATTTGACCTGTGGCAAAGACCAATATAAATTCATGTTGAGTATTAATAACTATAGTTGAAATTGCAGTTCATGTCTGCGTGGCTGATGAGGTACCTGTAAGTCTTGATTGACTGTAAAGGGCAAAACAGCAGAAGGGTCCTTTGATCCTTCAGGAAGCACAACCTGAAACGAAATCTTCCTGAGTTAGCGAGTGATTGCTAACAACAGAGCTTGGAGAAAAACAAAATGATAATCAAACCCACTTTGACAGTCAACTTGTTGACAATAGTTTCAACGAGCGGGCACCCAAAGGTAAAGTTCAAGTAACGCCTGCCATCGGGGGCTTCAAAGAGATAGTCCTCCAATGGAACTCGATAGCCGATGATAAAAGTTGCTCTCCACCCTCCAAATAACGGGTATCGCGGTTCAAATTCAAGTTCTGACTGCAAAGACCAACGATCTTTTTTAAGAATCCAGAAACTAAAAAAGAATAACATATCAGATAATTCCTTTTTTAGGTAGAAAGTTTGAAGTATACGTCCCTAAGCACCATTGTGAATTTATGTAACACACCGTTGAACAATGAGAGCATTAGGAGAAATTTTGTAGGGAGTAAATAACACTGCCTATATGGCTGGAGATTAAGAGAGGAGGGTATCCAACCATACCTTTCGAAAGCCTGTACGCAAATGTGAAGTTGAGATGTTTCCTATGTCATCCCTGTAGTAGACAGAGTTAACTCTGGGAGGCAGTACTGCAAGGAGCGCATTGAAAGAGGATGCACCACTGGCGGAACGTTTAGATTGATAATCAACCCTGCCAAATTCAAAAGTTCCGAAAACTATTTCATAAGAATGGCATATGTATGAATACAACAATCATAAATAGCTATTTACAAGCTAGTTTTACTTCAGTAACAGAGATAAAATGGAATCTTAACAATTATCTCAAAAACATATTCGGAAATTCCATGGCATCTATTCCTAGAGATAAACTTCCAGAGGTCACCTAATAGACAAAATAAGCCATTAGACAAATCACATACCTTGAGAAAACACCCTTATGCCGAGCTCCCCCGTGAGTCAACTTATAATTCTCTGTTATCTGAAGGCTACCCCAGTGAGAAATCTCAATTTCACGGACAAGTTCCTCAACAACGGCAAACGGACTGTTATTCTCAAAGTGAATGATAACAGGTGAGTAAGAGTACGGAGCACGATTCTCATATGGTCCATATTTTATCTCCTTCCCTGCCCGGTTAGCAGGTTCGATGCTAGTGAACGACTCTACTCTAGTACTAGGAGTCTTAACAATAGTTGCCTGTTGCTTAATGTGATATGGAGACAGTATCACTGCACTATCACGATAGTAAACCAACTGAGATTCTGACTGGGTTATCTCCACTGGGAAAGGTTCCAAGGAATGAGTCAATATGTATAGCACCTCAAGCGTAACAGTTTCACCCGGGCCTAAGGGGCTAACAAACGAAACACTGAAATATCCAGTGTCATTTGGTGCATCAGCTTGTTCAGTTGGTTTTACATCCAGAGGCAAGTAGGTTTTCTTCTTCTTCTTTCCTGTAATTGCCAAGGCTTGGACCATAGCCAAATGCTTGATCTGAGTAGGTGGGAAAGCAAGAAGCATTTCTGCAACAGGATTTTTCCCAATATTTTCGACCTATAAGAAGAAATCCCGATAAGAAAACGTCACAAAGCCACTAAGTTCCAACTTTTTCAACAAGTATCACTACAATCAATTTATATAAACTGAAAGAAAAGGAGCTGCAATTGCATATAAAATACCAAGAAAAGCTTCAAATCCCAATCCTAAGTTCCAAAAGTAATAACTACTATAAACCTTTGAGTAGAGATTACCTTGAGAGTCAAGAAGGCCTTCACGATATGTGAGCTTAAATCAATCTGTAGACAAAAACAAAAACAAACGCAAAGAGGAAGCATTTTAGAATCAAAATGTATAATCAAAAGTGAAGTGACCAATCTCACAGTAATTCTACAAATCAAGCATAGATCGGAGAAAAGGTAACACCAAACGGAACATTCATTAGCTTGAAGTTCCATAAAACCGAGAAATGGATCCATTAAGGAAATATATGAAGATAGATCGGAGAATTCTACCCTTCGCTCGGCATTTACGATCTGAAGATCCTGAGCGGATGAAAACGAAGAAAGAGATAAGAACACAGCTACGAAGACGACGAAGATCCCAATACGAGAAGCCATTTTCGTCACTGCAGTGAGAAACAAAACTTCATTAACGAAAAAAGCTCGGAGATAGCGAATCGATAGGATTTCAGAAAGATCAGAAGACGAGAGAGAGAGTGTGTTACTGACCGGTGAATACAGATCGGAAAACAGATTCCGACGAAGGAGCAATGATCCGGTCAACTACAAAGTCTCAGTCTCTCGCTTCTCTTCTCTCACGATTTAGGGATTAGTCTTTTCTTCCTCAGAACGAAACGACATGAAACTTTATCGTTTTATCTTTTAAATTTAATGGGCCGTGAAAATAATCAGTATAAGCTATTATTGGGCTTTTGACTACAACAAGACCAGTATAATAATGAAAATTAGACACATGTCTGGTTTCGAATGTTTCTTCTCTCGTCGTCTCCTCCAATTTTTTTTCTCCAGTTTCTTCAAATCGTGTTCTGATTCGAACGAACAAGAAAAAATAAAAACAAAATTACGTGGGAGAGTTTTAATTACTCGAAAGCTTCTTAATTTCTTTATTTTTTTGTTCTTCAGTTACAATGTGCCGATTCATATGTCGGTGAGTTATATTGTCCTCAAGGTGTTCGATGAAATGTTTGAGTGAGTGATCAGTTAATCTGGTTTGTTTCTTTTGTAGTATCCCACAAAGGAGTTTTCTCCTTTAAAGCTTGAGGACTACCGGAGAGTGATGATGGATAGATTAAGCGAGGAGGAGTTGTTTACCACTGCCCATATAGCTAATTGCATGAAAAAAGGTTTGATTTTTTTTTGTTCACGAACTAGTTTCATCTGATTGATGATTGTTTTTTTTTTAACAATTGATCTGGGAGCAGCTAAAATTGACAGGCTCGAGTTGGATCTTCTCATATCAGAGTATGGAAAACAAATACAAACTCATTCACTTGTATTTTTTTTGTTTGTTTATGAGTGTTCTCTTGCAAACTTGATGTATTGTTTGACTTTGCATTTTAGGTTCACATACGCAAATACCATTCATGGCTCAAAATATCCCCGGGAGAGAGAGTTTCTTCAAGCTGTATGTCTGCTTGATCGTATACTTGATGTATCGTTGTTGTCTTGCTAAATTACCGATGTAGGATAGGAGGCTTAGGCTTTCGTTTGTTAATTGTCTGATATCATAGAGAAAAAATCTTTCAGGTTCATAAATGCGTTGCTGGCGGAGGGAAAGCGTTGCTAATGGCCTTAACCGGAGTGCTAAATGCTCGGTAAAGACGCCCCTCTCTGCCCTCTCTCCCAAAGATCGAATCTACATTGATGTTTGAGACGTTGAGTGATAAGAAGAGTGGGGGAAAATGTCTTTCATGTGTGAAGAAGAAAGGCAGACAGGTTGGAGCCAGGCAAATCAATTTCAGTTTAGTAGTAATATAAATTTTATGTTTTGAACCAGAAAGAAAACACTAATTTCAAGGCTTTTCTCTGGCATTTTCCTGTATAGCTTGATTACGTCCCATTTACTCTGGATTTCGTTTTGGTTGTGTGTTTCCTTCTAGTACACAAAGTTTATAAAAATAAACCACAAAATCAAATGCAAAATATCTGTCTACTACAAATGTGAGGCTTTTAGGGCTCTTGGCGATTACCAAAGAATCCAAATGAGGGTAAAATCTAAAAATTGTCAGGGAAACTGTCATTGTCCAGCATTGAGCTTGGGAAATGGACCTTTATTTTGAGCTAACAAGCAAAGTGCTTTTCAGTTTAAGGGA